TGGTTGCTCGTGCCATGCTTGGTATAGTGGAGATGGCAAGTCGATTCGATGAGATCGTCAATGGGCTTGGGCGCAATGCCAGCAGTCGCTTATAGGGAAGTTTAAATGCAATGGTGAGGAGACGTGCCAGGCAAACGAATTGGAGACGGGTGATAGAAAAGGATCACTTGAGGTATCTCGTGAGCTACAAACCTCGACAGGTGAAGGGTGAGTGGCCGGAAAGGGGAAACTACGCGTGAATGGTGAAGGCAGGTATCATGACGTCGATGACGATGATTGGAGCTTTGGCCCTTGTCCCTGCCTTAGCGCGCATGACGAGGACGCGCCGAGGTCCACTTTGTCGGGAGTCCGTCACCTCTGATCAGAGCTACCCCACGTCTATCGATACTATCGATACCTCTTGAACGCGTTCAGACTAAGCTCACCATGGCTCACAAGGCGCCGCTGGTAGTTCCTGCGCTCAAGCGACACACGGCCACTGTTATCGTGGCACATGGACTAGGTGACAGCGGGGCTGGCTGGTAAGGGGACTCAACATTATGAATGTGTACATCTAACCAGCGTAGGATATTCCTCGCGGAGAACTGGCGCAGACGTAGCAAGTTCGAGGAAGTCTCCTTCATCTTCCCCAATGCGCCAAACATCCCGATCACACTGGTTCGTTAACCAAGTCCGACGCAAACACACGGCATATCGCTGATACGCGACACAGAACATGGGCATGAGCATGCCAGGATGGTACGACATCAAGTCACTCAGCACGCTCGACGACCGCGACGAAGACGAAAAGGGCATCATCGAGTCCCAAAAATACTTCCACTCCCTTATCGACCAGGAAGTCGCAAAGGGCATACCCGCCAACCGCGTAGTCGTTGGAGGCTTCTCGCAAGGAGGCGCCATGTCACTGATGTCCGGTGTGACATACAAGGAGCAACTCGGAGGCATCTTCGGTTTGAGCTGCTACCTCCTGCTGCAGAAGAAGATCAAGGACATGATTCCGACCGAGAACCCCAACCAGAAGACGCCCATCTTCATGGGCCACGGCGACGCTGACCAAGTGGTTGCACACAAGTGGGGCAAGCTGAGCGCGGAAGAACTTGAGAAGCACGGGTTCAAGGTCGACTTTAGGACTTACAAGTACGTTAAGTGTATGGGAGTATGAGAAGATTACTGACAATGCGCAGGAACTTGGTGCACTCCGCTGACCCAGATGAGATCGACCACCTCGAGTCCTACCTCAACCAGCAAATACCTGCTCTAGGCGACAAGTCAGAGCTCTGACTCTCTCAATCGACCCCGCTCATGTCGACCGAAGCGACGACGGCCCTGGTGCTCATAATCACACTGGCCATTGCTTGGTTTGCGTGGTACAAGCGCGATACGGTACTCAAACCGCATGACGAGACGGAGTGGCATGGAGATTATTAGGTTGCTACAATGTTTGGAGACATACAGTTGAATGACTTCGCATAATGTATACATGAACTGCAGCATTTCTTCATGCTCTGGCTTTGTAGTTGCGTTTATCGGACTGCTTCATAGGCCCAGCTCTAGCCGTATACTCACATCTACCACTTCGTTACGACATCAACGTAATCCGGTAGTATAAACCAAATACCAGATACATTTACCCCGCCTCCATCTCTTCATACCAGTCATACCCTTCGTTTGTCCCGCTAGCTTCATATTCGTTGGTGATGGGTGGGGCGACGAAGAAATTTTGCAAACCTCACCACCACAACCCCAACCACCAACAATCTATCTGTTCTAACTTCACATCCTTCCATCAATTTCCGATATGGTCTAGTGGCTAGGATTTGCCGCTCTCATCTCGCAGAGTCAGTTCACTGTACAGTGCCGGCAAGGCCCGGGTTCGGTAAGTTCGCATAGCAGCAACATGACTTCGAAGCATGGTCCTAACAATTAATTAGATTCCCGGTGTCGGAAAATACCTTCTTTTTTGCTGATTTTTGGGTAACGAGGGAGGGGGCGTTGAGGCATGGCATGAGGGGCCAAGATGGAGATGCTGGGTTGAGTTTTTGGATGGGCATGTGCGCTGGAATGTACCGCCGTCGAAGAACTTTAAAAGCATAAGGCCGCGTGTAAGAGAATGAGATTCATTTTGTTTGGTATTACACTGAGCGGAAGAATTTGGTATTGCAAACGCGGTGTGCAAGTAGGTTTTATTGCTAGAGAGACTTGCAGACCTCTGCCTGCATACATTCGTGATATGGTGCTTACCACATCTAAGAGATGCGGCTCTGGGCCTCGGCTACGATGCTCCTACCACAATATTACAGTAACGCGACTTCAATCCATCATCCCACTTTTGTCGTGACACTGCATCTCGTGCGCTCCGGCCGCGCGTATTCAATGACGCGCGCACTTTCCAGTCCATCTAAGGAGACTACCAAGCATCGCATTGCTCACCTAAGCCCAGCAACTCTGCTTTTTCTTCATGCCGAGCTCTCTGCAACTCCATCTCGATGCGGCCTCCTATCGATAGCTATATTTGGAGCTCGCTACCAGCTACACTCGGCCAACGTCCCATTCAGGCGTCCAACAACGTCACAAAATGCCAACGGGCTGCACGGGCTGGGCCATTCGTGCGGGCTTTCCAACATTCCAGCTGGGACTCGCCTGCCTGCTAAGCTCACGCCTCAAAGCTTTGTACCACTGCAGAGAGAGGAGAGTCAGGGGTTGCGTCGAGTCCGGCCCAACTAGTCAGCATCTAGCGAGATGCTTGATTCCTTAGGGCTGATCCCCTCGACTGTTCCCACTCGTCGCAAATCTTCCCAACCCGCCGTCTGGTTCGCATGGAAAGTAACTCTTTTTCGCGCTCAACGGTTAACGAGAATTTGGGTTGCCATGACGCTGTCGTTCGGCGACGATCCAGTAGATCTTCCGCGACATAACGATCAACAAGCGAATCCGCAATCACGATGTAATCACCTTAAACCTCGTGTGAGTGTGATGCCGGCCTTCCCGATCAGTCTGGCCGAAACTTGCCATTGGTAAATTTCCGAACCTGCACACTTTGGGGAGACGTCGCATCCGTGCGTTCAGGCACGAGCGGCCGTATTTGACATGCGCCTCAGCGCTGGCGGTCTCGTAGCGCGGGCCTAGGGCTTGCGGACAGCGTCAGTCCATGTGGAGATGTACGAGCGCGGTAGGGCGGGCGGTGTTTATTGGGTGCGTGGGCCATGGGTCAATACGAGAGGGGCTGTTGTTAAAGAGCTGAGCTGCTGCTACTGTGGATTTCGTTTCTTCACTATCTATCGTCAAGGTCGTTTGTCTAATTCACGCATCTTTTCGTCGACTCTTTATCGTTTCGACAGTCCACTCGCTTTCTACACGTCAATTATTTCGACTTAGAATAATCTTAATCAAGATGCGTTTCTCAGCTTTCGCCCTCCTCTCGCTGGTCTCGGTTGCCTTTGCTGGTAACTGCGGACCTCAGAATGGAAACGCCAAGTGCGCTGCCAACGAGTGCTGTAAGTCTACAATACCCTCGTATCTTCGAATTCTTGCTAATAATGCATCACAGGCTCCCAGTATGGCTGGTGCGGAACCACACCCGCTCACTGCGACGCAAAGAACTGCATGCACCCCTTCTCCGGCGCCTCCTCATCCTGCAAGCCCACCCCAACCACGATGAAGACCTCCGCGACCAAGCAAGCCACCTCGCCCGCAACCACCTTCCCCACCGCCGTCCCCGAGATCGACGTCTGCGGCCACGCCCAAGGCGGCGTCACCTGCCCCGGCGCCGGCGCAAACGGCTTCTTCTATCGCTGCTGCTCGTCCGCCGGCCACTGCGGCCCCAAGAACGATATCCAGGACCAGAACCTGTACTGCGGCGACGGCTGCCAGGCTGGCTTCGGAAAGTGCGACAACCAGAAGGCGCCTGCTGAGCCTACTGCGCCCAAGGGTACTTCGGGTGAGGGTGAGACGTGCGGTCCTATTGTTAACAAGAAGTGTGGTAACAACCTCTGCTGCTCAGGTTCCAACTTCTGTGGCTCTGGTGAGGACTTCTGCGGAAAGGCCAACTGGTGCCAGAGCAAGTGGGGAAGGTGCAACTAGGATGTTGGATATCAACATGGGTTGGTGTAGAGAAGTTGGGGGTAGAATAGAGTTACGAGTATAAGAGTTCCTGGGATAATGAAAAGACATGAGAACTACACATTACCTGCACACCCGTAGACATCGCATTGCCATCTTTCCACGAGCGGATCCTCCTTCAAAGCTATGCTAGGCGCGGAAGAAGTTCTTCACGAACCCCCTTACACGCTCAACCCAAGCACACAGCAACCTCCATTCACACCCCCATAGCAGCCTCACGGGTGGGTGAGTGTGGATGTCTTCTCTACTGTGCGACAAGGAGTGTTGTTTTGCTTGATGGTGGTGGTGTTAGTGGTAAAGATAGGAGAGGAGAGCTGGAGTTGTCCTGAGCGAGAAGAAAAGCCATGTCATCCATTGTAAAGAGTGGAGCGAATGGGTGCCGCCAATAGGGTGAGGGAGTTTGACTGTTGATAGGTTAGACTACATTCAAGTTTCGCACCTTTCGCTGGGAAATGGCTGCTCGAAATGGGCAAGGTAATATGATACTTAGGTACTGATGAAGTGAAGTGAATATACAGAATCTTGTCCAAGCAAGCTTCGGTCGAGCCGTTTTCCACGCGAGGGATCAGATATAATGATTTGGGGTCACCCCGCTGTTTCTCAAAGGCTTGATGGAAGGATGAGAGGGATGTTTGGTTTGATCCTAACAGTCCTCCTCGTGTATCAAGTTATATATCATTTCTTTATCTATAAGTTAGAGATTCTATCATCGTAATCTACTCTGTGTAAGGACCGTACCAGCACCAAACCACATCAAACTACACCAAACACATGACCGTCACACCAAATACGCCTCTCCTCCGAAAGATAGAAGACTAAGAAAGAAAGAAGAACCCCAGAGAAATAGAAAACACCTAGTCCTACCACTCTCCCACACCACACTAACCCTTAACCCACTCCCCAACCTCAAACCCCACCCTCCTCAAATCCGCATCCGCAAACCTACCTCCAGGTCCACACGCCTTCCAAACACTCAAACACCTAACCCCTTCGTCCATCTCCGGTTTCAGCCCCACCTGGCCCTCCTTCGGATCAAAGCTCTTCACATACAGCGTCAAATCGGGTCCTACGGTGCCGCGCCACAGCGTCGCCATCCACTGCCAGTGGTCGGTCGGGCTGTAGGCATCTTGGATGGGGATGCGGGAGGCGTAGGCGATGGAGGCGGCGAGTTGGAAGGTTGGGAGTAGGATTACGGGTTTGATGGCGGGTTTGGTGGAAGAAAGGGAGTGGGAGGGGGAGTCGGGGGGTGTGGCGGAGTCTTTGCGGGTGTCTTTTGTGGAGACGATGATTGTGTCGCTGTTGGGCGAGGGTGTATCGGCGGAGGGGAATGTGGTGGTAATGTATTTGATCATTTCCTTGCTCTTGCTGTGCCATTCTTTGATTAGGTCGAGGTAGTCTTCGAATGTGACTTCTCTGTCGGCGTTGTCGATGGGGGCTTGCGGTGGCTCGGCGATTTGGGGACTGTACTCCTTTTGCTTGATGAGGTATTCGTTGAGCCATTCTGTGAGTTCTTTGACGGCGGCGGGGTCGTCGCCTTCGATGGCGATGATGGCTCCGCGGTTGGCGCGGTAGGATGGGCTGGCGGAACCGGGCTCTTTATATTGATAGGGAGGCGTTATCCGTCCGAGGAGTTTGATCTTGTTGGGGTAGGGGAAAGCACTGAGAACTTCCTCTACGCTCTTGGGACTGCCATCGGACTGTAGAGATCCGAGCTCAACCATTGACTGATGGCGCATCTCGCGAGGGGTTCGCGGAGGAGGCATTGTCGCACTGTGTGGCGTTACATGGATGGGCGGCAAAGACTCGCGTCGATAGACAGCGTATTGCTGGATCGGGCCGTTATGCGATCCGTCTGGTCTACGACCGTTACTCGTTGGCGGAGGCCCTTGGTCAAAGCGCCGCTTCTTGTTCGGCGTCAAAGGGCTATACATCATCGTGTCTCCACGCATGGTCGGATTGAGCTGAATGTTACTGAGGCTTGGTGGAATGGGACCTCGGCGATGACCGGGCGACTCAAGACTAAGGTTACTCATCACTGGTAGGTAACGAGTTGTTGGCGTGAGGCCTTCCGAGATGTTAGGAGGCGGCAGAGTCGGGGTGCCAGAGGCGTCGAGGAAAGGACTGGTAGGTGTTCTCAGACTGCGGCCACCACACTTGTGACAACGGTACTTGTCAACTGTCGTATGCTGGCCAGTAGGGTTCAACGGTGACGACCCAGGTTTGCCAAGACGACGTGGTTGATAGCGATAGTCGGGGTATTGTTCTTGGTGCCTAGCCTTCTCTTCCTGAGTTCACGTTAACAAAGACAATGGAGGGTAAGGTGCCAAGGGCCACTAACCTGCGCAAGGTCTTGCCAAACCTTCTTCTGCTCTTCACCTTCAGCCTTCCACTGTTCACCGATAATCTTTGAGATGTCGGGATTGTTGAGACCCGGATTACGAGCGGTAATGGCCTGCTGGTGGTGCTGCCGATAAAGAATAAAAGCTACAAGGCAATGGTCAGCAGGCTGCGCAAGAATGACCGCAAACAATGATGGGTGTCTTTGTTCTGAGTCAAATCCGAGTCAAATGCTCCGATTAGGCAAGTGACGTACATCCAAGACAAAGGAAGATAATATCGACTTACCATTTCGTGGACGCGGTATTTTCGGCTCTGGTTGACACAAGCAAACATGCCCTGAGAAGTCTGGCTCGCCGCCAGCTGTAGCGGACGAAGCACTCGGGGGAGGTTTATCGTCAGATGGACTGACCAAGTCGTCGGCCCCGTCAATCTCAATCAGCGGCGAAGGTCTTTTCCTTGTAGTCCTCGGAGACGACAAAGCAGGAGAGATTGGGGGCTCGTCCCTCTTAGTACGCTCAGCAGTAGGACTAGACGTGGAAGCTGGGCGCGTCTCGTTGATCCGACTGCTCTTGCGCAAGTTCCTCGAAGGCTTCGAATCGTCCATCGGGGACACTGGAGAGGCATCACCAATCTGCATGTTTGTCTTGACGTACCGCCTCGGCACGTGAAAGAAGGTAGCGACAGGCGGAGAATGGGGAGAAGAAGGAGTCAAAGTCCAAACAATCGGTGGCAACACTCGACTGGCTAGCATTTTCGATTTCTAGAGACGCGGCAGCTGACCTAATGACTCCGATGGAAGAAGGCGCGGTTCATTGTCCTCGGTCGGACACGAAGGGAGGGAACAGCCGCGTTGGTAACGAACCATTAACAACATGTCCGTATCTTTGAATGCATTATCCGGTAGCCAGAGTTGGACCTTTGACGCTTTGACGATGGTAGCAGCCGTGATCCAGTAAAATGATTGTTCCAGTCATATGCAGCCGATCTGCGCTGGCGGTTTCTTTGTTCTACTACTTCGGGAGCGTGCCAAGACGAGCTTCCACCAACCGCGAGACATGTACATTCCTGCGTCAGCTATGCAAATAAGAGCCGGGGCTTTGTCTCAGACCAGGGCCTGGTCTTGTCTCGCGTTCGTCATTGGAGTGGTACTTTGATGCGCGGCTTATGCAAGGGGCGCCAACAATGCAACACCTTCCCGCATTGCAGTGCCGCATCGCAACGGCTGTGGCTCAGCTCAGAAGCGAAGCTGTAGACGATAGTCTCCCCTATTACGACTGATGATGTATGCAGTCAAAGCATCGAAAGACGGGCGCGAGCCAGGGAGGCAAAAGACCTCAGAGATTTCCGCCTCCCCTCCACGCTCCCCACTTCCCCAGTCCTCGCCAACAATACAACATTCTCTTTCATAACAATGACCGTGGCTCTATGTCAGAGAAGACGCAGTCATACTGCGCCTTGCCACCATATGCCGTCCTGGTTGTAGCGAGGCGCATTTTACCCCGTGTCGCGGGTGACCAGGTAGTTCCACGAAGCTCTTCTCAGCCATGGCCAAGTTCCAAACAGTGTCTTTGACAACTTGTGCTGACAACCCGAGGGAAACTTCGTTCTGTCGGCTAGGTCTCAGACACTTTCTTAACGACCTGTGATAGTATCCGCGAAGAAACCTGAGGTCAAAGCTCGCTCCTTCTTGCCCTTCCGATCTGTATCTCTTTCCTACGTCCGTGTCCGTGTCGCGGGGAAGCAGGAAGCTCCGTTCAGCCTCGGCCGAGTTCCAGACAGTGTCTTGTGCTAATACCCTGGAGGAAACTTGAGCTTAAACTGCACTCGCTCGTTTTCCTGCTTCTTCTCTTCCTCACTCTTTTCCCGCACAGCATTAATGCTTCGATTCCCGCGTACCAAGTTCGCGGCATGTTTGCCAATGAGTTCATGAGCCGGTCCACTGAGCTGGATGTTATCCCTATCACATCAACCCGTTAGCTTGAAACAGAAACAAAGCGTTTGTGCTGTGCTATGACTTGTGGCTTGAAAGGAGCGTGGTGCTATGCAGCGACTGAGGTGCGTATAGCGTGAAAGCAGTAGATGTATCAAGTGATCAAGGACGAGGCTTATGAACTTACCAAAATAAGTGCTGTGTCGGCGCAGAGCATTTGACCAATCCACTCCCCCTTACAGCATCCAAACAAGGCGTATCGACGTGTTCGAAAAGCGGTGCCTGAGCCCCAACACCGGTCGCATCAGAAATCTGTCGCGAGTGCAGTTGTTTGGCACGGACTTCGTTCATGATGATAGCATTTGGCTCAGGCATGTAGATGGCGCCGTTTTTCCATTCTGCAGCTTTCCGAACTAAGACTGTGTTCCAGTATGACCATAGAAACACCATTCGGTGCTGAGTCACCGCGAAATCGGCTTCCCGCATGGCTTTCTTTTGTACTTGGAATTGCGGGAGGAAAGAGGCGTCGATCATTTTGGGTATGACGACGTTGGGCGGGTGGGCTGCGTGTTCGGCCAGGATGTCGAGACTGTGGAAGAGCGACTCGATGCTCTTGTCCACTGCGGACATGGCCACAGGCTTCTCCAACGTTGAGTATTCGAGCAGATCCCACAAGCCGAAGAAGACGGTGAAGAAAGTCCATTCGTCTCCTTTCCGTAGGCGTTCGGGGATGACTCGTCGCCCCTTGTCGTAGGCGACGTACTGTTCCATTTGTGTCTTGAAGTCAAACGACGTGACGGTTGTCTCGTTGCTTCCCGCGCCTTTCGTTTCCGTGTGGACGTTTGCGTCGACTAGCGATCCGATGTGTGCAGCCGCGGCTGGCTTGGAGTGGGCGAAGTTGTCAATCGTGTCACATGCGAGCTGGAGTGTGTTAGACTGTGTATTTGTATGAGGGCATGACTCTGACGAACCTCTTTGCATAGTGTCTCTACCCAGAGGTCGCCTCGGTCAGCGTCGCGGGCTACCACTGCGGATAGCACAGGCGAAGAGACGCGGTAGCTTCCTGTGTCGGACCAATCGTTGCCGAACACTACTATGCGGTGCGCGTTACCGCGCCATACGTTGTGGACGGTGTCTTCGAAATTGGCGGAATGTACCCAGGTGAAGTACAAGATCATGAGAATGGCAAGAGCCGCACAGAGGTGCAGCCGCGAGAAGAACCGCATCGTGTGGTAGGCTAGGCTGCGTGACAGGTGACAGGCGACGGGTGTGAGGGTGAAGTGGTAGCGATGCGATGCGACCCAGCAAATGGAAGCAAAAAGTGGGTGGACCTGTGAGGGTATAGGTCGTTAACCGCGGGAGTAGGAAGCGTCATCCTTGCGCGTCAAGGAATCTGACGACGCAGTTGACGCCTGTGCGAGTGCGAGCCTTGTTGTGCATCACAATCCCGGCAAACTATCCGTCAAAAGCGGATACATGTCGCGTGCGCGTCGTACCTAGGCAGTCAGGCCAGCATCTTCTGAACACACTCCAACCATGCCTAGGTGCCTATCTCAACATCAGGTACCTTGCCTACAGTAGGGAGAACATTCTTCCTGCAACTAAGAATTAGCAAAAGGAAGATAACGTCCACCACCGCCCCTCCGCCTCCCCTCCACCGCCCCCACCCACCCCGTAGCCAGTGTAGCCAACGTCATCCTTGACAAGCGTTAAGGAACATGACGACGCCTGTGCAGTGCGAGCCTCGCTGTGATTGCATCCCCGGGAATACATGGGTCAGAAACGTCCAAATGTGGATACATGTCGCGTGCGCGTCGCATGCCAAACTCAGAATCCCATAATTGGCCTGACTCTTCATCGACTCACATGCTATCGACTCACTTTCCATAGTCAGTCAGAGTTCCCCTGGTCAGACTCCCTCCTTTTCTTTTTGCACGACCGCTACTCCACCGACGCCGACATTACACAGCGCCGTCGTGCGAAAAGTTGAGGTTCTGACCGCGCGGAACCTACGGCCGCTCGGCATCTCGCCCCACTTCTCGTGGCGTAATCAGCGGAGCAGAGTTCAGGACTTACGTATATAATTTTAGCTAACGAATATCAGTGGAGGAGGATGCGAATGCCCAGGTTGTGAAAGCCACGAAGCCACAAATGCAGCAGACGCGCTATTCCTGTAGCGCGTTAAGTGCTTATCCTGCCGCCCGTTGGATACGATCGGGTTCGGAAGATGCCAACCGCTTGTCAGCCCGCTCGCTGCACCGCCGCCGACTCCTCGCCATCGCCAAACTTCAGGTTCGCGAACCTGTCCATCAGGAAATCTCGCATCGCACCTTTATCGTCGATCCACTGTGCGACGATGAACGCCTGATCTGCCCATTTCTTCGTCTTAACATCGTCTTCTGACAGGTAACAGTCCACGGCGCGATTGAAAGCGGTGCTTGCGAGCCATTCGAGCTCGGTTCTGGGGTAGCAGTCGATCTCCTTGATGCACTCGTCAGCCAGGTCTGCAGTGTCGTTGTTTGTGGCGAAATCAGAAGATGGCGGCGGTGTTTCCAGTCCGGCTGTCGCGATGGTGGGATGAAGGGTCTGAATGGGCTTAGGAATATATCGGGATTGCTAGGGTGCGGGAACTTACGTTCTTCTGCTTCGCAGCGAGATGCGTTACTTGCTGGATGCATT